GCTACTTCGTTACTAATACTCTGTGGGTCACAAAGCAAACTTTCTTTAAGAAACATTATGTAGATGAAGTTTCACTTAGCTTTTAAACTTATAACTTTAGTTATAGCTTTTTTTCTTATAGCTTTAGGGTTAAACCACTTAGCTTTAGGGTTGATTGCCCTTTATTTGCTCAAAGTAAAGATTTAACAGTTGGTCCCTTTCTCAGGGCGTACAACAAAGCCTCCACTTGGGCCTTAAACTCAAAATGTAAGAAATAAGAACTAACTAATGATTAACTAAAGAGATTTAGCCTAAGCTAATATAATTCTAAACAAATTGGCCCGTAATTTTAACTTAGCCAGCAAAGCTATCAAAAGGCACATAATACAACCGAACGGTAGTAACAGAGAGACGTAACCAAAAGGCACCGCACGCTATTCAGGAATCCTAACTCTCTGTCTCGAAGTCAGTGGAACTTAAATACTACTCAACTTATCATTTGCATTTAACGCGATTTTAAAGCCTCATTCTGGTAAGGAATTGTAAGCTGAAACTAGAAGAGATAGGAAAGTGTCATAAAGAGATATATATATCTTTATATAATAAATAATATAATTTAAAATATCTGTTATAAATCTGTATTATATATCTGTTATAAATCTATATTATAATATCTGTATTATATAATTTAAAATATCTGTTATAAAATCAAAATATGCCTTACAAGATCTAAACTTTTGGTTTCTTACTGTTCAGAAATATCGTGATTTTTATAATTAAATAGTAAATAAAAATCTCTCTTTTTTTATTTAATTCATACAAGGGGCTTTAAAACATTTTTTTCGCCTAAGGAAACAATGCCTCAGTGTAAGATTTTCTAAGGGTAACTGGTTTGTATTCATGTAAAGCATGCGTGAAACCATGGAAACACCTGTTCAAGCGTCTTGTTCATGGTGATCTGAGCACAAGTTAATTGCTATATTATGAATGCAGTTTAAGTACAGTTAAAGTTTGTCATTGCAACTTTTATTTATCTTTATGCTTCTTGGCAATATTAAATTTGATGCAAATAACATAGATAAAATTTTTAAACTAATTCATATCTCAGTATTTATATTTTTAGTCATTTACGGTGATCTATTGTTTGATCCTTTATACAAATTTCATGTATTAAGGTAAATATTAAATAATAATAACGAACTGAAAATTATATGAAATACCAAATACTGATTTTTTTTGTCTCATTTTATATATTAAAAAAATTTAATCGTTAATAGTTAAATCATTTTTCGAATGGTTTGATTAATTCATTAAGGCAAAAAAGGTGAGGGCCTTCGTGAAGGACATTTTTAGGGCATTTGATTTGTATTCACAGGAGCAAAACCAATACATTTTCAAAAAAGAGTTAATGGGAAATATACATATAGACCACCCATTTATCAGGATCTGAGACTCCACTGCTCAGTGGCTTATCCAATTAACCACTGGTGAGCAAATAAGCTTTTGGTTATTATTGAGTGTTACCAATGTCTTAGAGCGTACATTCTATTTTAGTAAAAGAAGGTTTAAAAAAAAAACTTTTATTTTGATCATTTATTATAATTATTTTAATAAAACAATGTTTTTAAACTACTGTTGTTAATTCCAATATTAGAAGTTTTTTTTTTTTTTTTTTTTTTTTGCTATTACAAGCATTAGGGAATATCAGAGTTTTGAAATCTAACTACCATTCATCTCAGAATAAGCCGGAACGGTTTGATTAATTCAAGTACAATAAAATCTGAAACCTTTTAATTTATTTCTTTGACAACAAATAATTCATTTTGTTGTTTTATTTTCAACACTAGAACGCATCAGAAATTTCTTCTCTTATTACAGAACCACCAGTCTCCGAGCGATAAAATCGCTGAACATTGGTAGTTCAATCGGGGTTCGAATCTCGGCGTACGGGCTGGCTGCATGGTAGTTTTAGTAGAGTTTTCTCATGACGTGTGTGTGATGGGAATACGAGTGTAATGAATACGAGCCAGTTTCCCATAGAAAGTAATCCATTCCCTTAATCAGATAGCCTCGCGTGCTTTGTCTGTAGAGACATTAGGATTTTTTTGAAGCATGAAACATGAAAAATATACAATTTCCCCGCCAGGACTCGAACCTCGGACCTCTCGAATACTCGCCGAGTGTGCTGACCATTACACCACGAAGGCATGTTAAGAAGGCGGGAGAAATACCTTATATGTCTTAATCTAAGTAATTCTATCTCTTTATATTCCAGGTTTAACAGAAAATGAAACTAAGATGTGCATTCTTTAAATCCGTCCTGCAAAAAACTGTAGCTATTCTAAGGATATGAATAACTTAAATGAATCCATTAGCATAGTTTTGAGAGAAATCATCAGGACAGAAACTCAATGTCCTTCCAACGACGAAATGAATAATGAAAACTTGAGCAAGACAAACTTTTTAGGAAAAACGGAGAAAGATGGATATATAAGGAGCATTACATTTTCAAACACCCTTGTTTAAGCTCCACGTGCCATTCCAATAAACTCCTGTGTATTGTGATTGCTTAAATAAATTTTAGGTAACAACTAGTGAACTATGGAAAACGCGTTATGGAAAAAACACAGCTTTAAGAACTGCAGATCGAATTAAAGGAAGTCAAAAGAGAATTACTGATGTTAGGCAATGCGGTGCTGCTTGGTATGAAGCTTATTACTCAAACGTAAATAACTTCAGAACGTTAATTCCAATTATAAATTTTAAAGTTAGGAAATCGCGCCTACAGTGTTGAGAATCATAACACTTTTCAGGACAAATTCAGTCTAGTTAACTTAATTAACTTATTTATAATACATTCTCATTAACTCTTAACTTAATTTCTAGGAATTAATGGAAATCATGCAATAAAAAATGTGTACTAAAGAAATTTGATTGAGGCATCCTAATAAAATAAATCAATTAATTCTTATTCGAATAATTTTGCTGCTTATTATGGCGATACTGTGCTCGTCATAAATAAATGGAGTCTCTCCATTTATTTATGACGGGAAGATGGCTAGAAAAAAAGAGTTAATGGGAATTGGAGAGTTGGCCGTATAGCACAGAGAATGAAAGATATAACAAGACTAATATTTAAGAACTGTCTTAAATTATAAAATGGTGGTATTGTAAATGTGATGTTTTAAAACTAGGTTTTGTTAGGTGTTTAAAAGTTGAAAATCAACAAGCGTAATTCCTTTTTTAAATGAATTTCTAACTTTTCGTAGCTGATACGGCGCCCTTTCTAGTTGTTCATTTAAGGCAAGTGCCTCATTAAAACTAACCTTGTCTCTGCTTTGGTTACAATAAATGTTATCGCCTTGTTAATGCAATAATCACTACGAAAATTAATCATCTTTTCCGTTGCTAATACTTTAAATTCTATAACCAGGGACGCATTACTAACATGTCTGACTTTTTTTTTTTTTTTTTTTTTGGTAGGTGCAATTTATTTTCGCTAACTGGCCATTGAGCTCTAGTTGGTTTATTAATGATAATAAAACAATATCTTCATGGAGAACTTTTCTGAAAGAAACTAGGTCTTGCTTACCTTATAAACAAGGAAACCAAAAAAAAAAAAAAAAAAAAAAAAAAAAAAATGCTCACATTTAACTTCCAAAGTAACTTCAAAAGTTTTCTACTACTTCATAAAGTGTAAAAAATTAGGTGCTCGAGTTTTACTTTGAGCCACTGCAGCATCATGATGAATTTGTTGACTTTCAGTACCAAATTAACATCTTAAACAGTTGTAATGTTATCTTTCGTTATTCTCAAATCACTAACCAATTATCTTTGATTACAGAAACCTGAGCCCTTTTCTTTACTAAATTATTTAAAATGATACATATTTTAAAGATTCAAAGACTCAGATTATTCATGAATATGACTATTCGTAATTTCTTGTGAAACGTAAGGAGTAAAAAGCTTAATCATATTTCTGATCTCGTTTGGAGAAAACAAGGGCACTCTTTTTCTAAAAAAAAAAAAAAAAAAGGAATACAATGTAAATGATTTTTTTAATGATTTTTAATGAGTCTTTTTAATGAAGTTGATAGTAGTGATATCATTATGGATGTAGATGAACACTATATCAAGCACTTTTTGTTCAATTCATTTTTAATACACCACTAACTTTTACCTGATTTAGAAATAGACAAATATTCATTTTCTAGCAATCATACTGATGTTATTCAATTGATTACGGCAAATCGCACGTGGGCTACTTGCCTAAAGAGAAGTATGCCTTCGTGAAATTTTTTCAAAACGAATCTGGCTCGTGTTCATGCTGTATATGAGAAGAACTATAAAACCTTCCATGCAACCAGCCCATCCACCGGAATTCAAACTCTGAACATTTTACCAGTATTCGGCTCAAGCCATTCAAGGAATTTGTTAAATTATTTTATTTAAATTGGAATAATTACTTTATATATACTTACAATGGGAGAACCATTATATGAGTAAGTAAATTATATAACATTTAGCTTATTAGATTCAGTATGGGTTTAACACAGGCCATTTAAATGAAGGGAGCATAAATGCTTTCTCCTTTAAACCTAGCTTTTGTCACATTAGGTTATTTGAATTATAAATTCATTCTCAGGAGTTAGAGGTTTTAACTCCATTCGAAATAAAACCTCGGCGCTATTGTTTAAAAACATATTTAAATTAAATAAGGAACTTGAAGAAATTAAGGTTTTATGTTACATTAAAAACCCCAAGCAATCGGACACTTTAGCACCTGGGAATTGAGTAAGGAATGTAATAGAATAGCATTGTGATATCTTTACTCTTGGTGAGCATCATAAATAAGAGTTCCGTAGCCCTTCGTTTGAAAGATAATTCGTTTAAATTTTTAGGAATGCAAAAAGAAATTTGGTTGACAGATGATTAGAGAAAAGAATAATGCATACTTATATAGAGAATTTAAATAAACCAGTAATAAACAAAAAGCTGAATAAGTTTAGATATGTACTCACTTCTTCCTCGTCCAAACTCAGAATTGTGTGTCACTTTCGAAGCATTCAAAAATCCCAAAGTTTTGCACACTATATGACCTTCTCTGAGATCCCATTCGTCATCGCATATGGATCCCCACTGTCCTAAGTGAAAAATTTCAACATTACCTTCCGAGGATGTTTTTCCACCTACAAGTCTGATGGTTCCCTCTCTCACATTTCTTGGGCGTCTGCGATTTGTCCTGTTACCTCGAGGAACACAATTAATGTAAAATGGGATTAAAACCATTATAAATAATACTATTATTAGATGCAGTTCTCTATACGGTAGAGGGAAGAAAATCGCCATGTTAGAGTTGACTGAATGGGGACGGAGTACGTGATGATATTTCCTAAATAACTTGCCAACAAAATCCGTTAGCAATCTTTTTGAGAATCTTTTCCTTTTTTTTTTCCAACTAATTTAATACAGAAAACTACGAAGTTAAATATCAGAATAATATACGTAAAACAAAATTAATTTTCTTCTTTCACAGGATAGTACTTCTTTGATTTTTCTGAGATACAGATCAATCAGCTTAAATTAGTAAGGAATATTTGCATATTTCCAACATATGGTCAAAACCAAGTTACATTTCGGTATGTCATTCTGATGGTAGGCTTTCTCCTTTTTCCCTAACACCGCTTAAATGCTGAATAACGAAACTCGAGAAGTTAAGTAGGCGAAGCGTTATTACCCATAAATCACTTTAAACTGCTTTAAGGAGTACTTGCCGACAACAGTTCTTTCTGTTTTCTTTTCATTAAAATTTAAAAACAATACAAAAATTTGCATTTTACTCATCACTTCTTCTGCATTTTCAGTTGGAAAACACTCAAATTTCGACCCACGTGTATTTTAAGAATTTTTGAATCATCCAAAATAGATTAATCAACTACAATAGACATATTCAATTAAGTCTTGTTTACGTGCTCTGCCAGTTAAGAGAAAAAGCGCTATTTTTTCACTCTCCTTCTTAAAGGCTACGGCACTTTGGGGGTGAGTTCCGAAGTGTTAGGCGAAAGAGATAAGGTTGCCAACATATAGTCGACTGTTTCGCCAATTACCGCCAAAGGAGAGTAGACCTATTTTTTGTTCAAAAAAGACGACTGGCGCGAATTTTAAAGCTTCTGGACTTGTTTCTTTTCTTACAGCACATTCTTTCCTGTGTAACAGAAACGGTTAGATAATTGAATTCATAAAAGAATTCGTCAAATGACCACACAATTTTTGTATTAAGAGGTATAAGTCTTGACACATTTATTTTAATATATAACTAAAAAAAAAAAAAAAAAAAAAAAAAAAAAAAACTCTATTTGAATAAAAATACAAAAAACTAATGCAGGATACTTTTCATAAATTATAATATAGAAAAGCTTATGGTCAATGTGATTTAAGTACTTCTGAATCATTACTAATAGTCATTTTTAATATTAAAGAATGAAAAGTGGAAAATAAAAAAAGCTTTAGCTTGGAAGCAGTTACTTCTATTTTAGTTCTGAGATTTAAAAAAATTTAGACCAAATTTATTAATAATTTTATACTAGGTTTGAGGGACTGCGGTTATAAACAAAGGAGAGTTCTTAACAGGCAATGAAAGAACTTCAAATGAAATCTAAATAATAACATTTCAAACATGAGTTTCCCTTTCGGCTTATGATTTTATAATGGTGATCAAAATTAGAAGGAAATCTTGAAAAGATATTGTTACGAAATTTGTATTTACATAGCTAGTTTTAGTAGACTTATAATTAAAATTGTTGTATTTCCCCGTGCAATGCAGCGCGAGACAAATTTTTAAGAGAAAGCTATGCCGGAAAAGTGAAAACACAGGAGCTCGTGCATTTAACATTGAGTAAATGGATATCTCGGTACTTTGTATTTGAATTGAATAAATGTAATTGACTACTATGTTAGCTTCAACCGTAATTCCACCCCCTTTTTGCTTTCCAGAAATCTCGAGAAGCAGAAATTACTAGAAAGATCTCGAGCAGCCAGTTGAAATCTAGAAAACGCCGGAGAGAGAACGCTTTAGTCAGTTGTTCACTTAGCTGCTTTTGTTACTGTTACAAGTTCAGCTTGAGGTCAGATTAGCTTTCTCTTTGCATTGCGTTGTAGTTTAATGTTTTTAGTAGTTGGAAGTATAACTACTGATGATATTGCGTGATATTGTGAACACTTGTACGAATATCTCTGAGGAAAATTCCAGAGTTCTGTTCTATTTCTTTTGATAAGAGTAAGTTTTATTAACCTTTTATCGGACTTCGTAACCTTTCGTAATCCCACTTCTGACACCATAAAAGTGTTGCGTGCGTACGGGTTCGTAATAGATAAATGTACAAGTAAAAAATGTGCATTGCTGTCGTTGGTATTCGAACTCTGACCTATACTGATTACTAATCCGACTTGCTTCCAATTACAGCATGAAGACACGAGGTAGAGAGGGAGAAAAAGCTTTGCATTCTGCCTCAAAGACGACTGAGAAGAGGAGGGTACTCAATCTCTCAATTCTGGTGGTGATGATTTATCGTCCACCACATTTTAATTCCGGTAGGTTTTCGGAGGGAAAAACGTTAAAAATGCTCATTTCATTCCTTAGAAATGCTTCATCTCCTAATCTGTAGCTGGGCATGTTTCCAGTTATATCAGGAAAGCACGCTGATAGTAGAGAGAATATACATTACATACAATATAATTCCTTCCATAAATTTATATATAATTAGTTTCCTACGAAATCTAAATATTACAACTATTTATATACCATAGGTATTCCAGTTGCAATGCAGCATTGCACTCGGTAAGTCTAACACTTGCATGATGTATGTAAATGAGGACATAAGCAGTATAAAAAATTAACTGCTCCGAATTCTTAAAACTTGAATATTTTGTACAGTTAGTCATTTTTAGAAGCTATATCATTCTCACAAACAGTCTCTATGCTCATTTTGAGACAATTAATCCGATTTTATATAAGTAACATCTGTTCTGCAAGCATCCGCATTTCTTGAACAGTTTCAATAGCAGCATCGATATAACGCACTTTCATAAAGCACTTCATTTTTACTCAATCTAATATCTAAAGAAGAAAATGGGCATTCCAAGTGACAAGCGTGTTTGCTTTCCAGGAATCATTTACAGACGACCAGACATGAAGCCGAGACGATCCAAAAATCATCCACAAAAATAAATTCTGGGTCGACGACTAAAAGAGTCTCCATACAGCGGAAGAATTTAATTTTTTAGCATATGTACGGTAAAAAAGCTTTCTTGGGAAAATTGCAAATACCTATTTGTCTTAATGCTTGTCCAATATACTTACTATCAACTGGTAAAACGCATAGAAGATTTTAATATAAGGGCTTTTCATAGCCAGTTCTTTGTATTTTTTTAAGAGTTAAGAACGATTTAACGAACATAACTGTAATTTAAGGCGTAACAAAAAGCAAAGACAGTTTTTCTCAAATTACGAACTAATTTTCTCGTATTTCAAACAGTTTAGCAGATAGAAAGAAATCAATTAAGGCAAATGACGTCAGAAATAAAGTATTTGGAATAAAGCATAAAGAAGAAACATTTTAAAATTTACTTCATTCAAATATTGCGGGAAACAGAGCCATTGAAGTAGCCGTCGAAGCGATACATTTTCGTGTCGAGCTCCCCGGCGCAGATGTCAACCATGCAGAATCCCCAGCTGATGGAAAGAGCGAAGAAAGTCCGCGGTGACGTAACAGTCGTGGGTGAGTGCGTGTTGATGAACGACTCGGTGTCATAAAGTGACAGAAATACTTGCAGCTGCCTCCTAAAAGGCGCCAGAATACTTTCGCGAGGAAAATAAAATAAGAAACCACCCAAATATGAAAGGGCTTACTTGGATCTCTCTTACTCTCAGATATTCGTTAAACCGGAAACTTATCAGTATTATGACCTAGTTTTATCTCATGTAAAAGAGGATCTCTTGCTTCTGTAATCCTGAACAGTAGCTAAGGCAAGCAAAGAAACTGAATTTTTCCTTTTAACCTAAAGCAGTTATTTAAAAATTCAGACAACAACAAGATTCTGTCGAACTGAAAGCTTTTCTATTTTTTTATTCAGGGTTTTTTAAAAAGTACTGCATAATGGTTTGCAATAATTTTAATACAAAAACAATAAAAAATGTTGCAGATTTAAATTCATTGGGATATTTTTCCGTAAATTAGGGAAAGAGTAAAAACATTTTTTCTTATTACTGTTTCAAGTGCCCATGTGTAGAGAGATACACGTAAGAAAGAGCACACGTTTGAAATTAGTCTAGAGCCCGTCTTAGTAGAACTTACTTGAATACAGAAATTCTATTCCAGTAATTTTTAGATCTACACAGTTATAACAGCAATAACTCTAATATAAATTTTTTCCGAACTTAGTACCATTCTTTTAAAGTAGTTCTTAGAAAGTTTCCTACGTTTATTTCCTTTGTATTTTTAAAAAACTTTTGAAAATAATGCATTGGTCATTGCAGTCTCTGATAAAAGTAGATCAGCTACGAAATTCTTTCAATTATTCGAACAGATTATGGTAATTAATGAAGCGCTAACATAAACATATTAAAGAATAAAACTCTTTTTTTTTTCATAATAATATAAAAATCAGATAATCATCGTAAACAATAACTACTACAAAGCGTTCGATTGAATGTAGTGATTTACAATTGCTTTGTTGATTTCAGAACGGCATAAAAATATTTAGCACGAATAATATATTGCTTTCAAAAATTAGCTCATAGAGAAACTGACTAAAACGAGGATTGCTACGAACAAAATACTTCAAAAAGAATTATGATTGCCCCGTATAAAAGTATTGAAGATTGCTTCATTTCGTTGTTTCTAACGTAGACTATCTGCTCGCAGTCGGGATTAGCAATTATTATTTTTTTTAAACAAATTATTTTCTGTCTTCAGGGAAGGGCTTCAGAAAAGCAACGTCTCTAGAGCGAATATCAAACATGTTCAATGGGGTTTAGGTTGGCGATTCACGCTGAACAGTCTATACGCATAAACGTCTCCTTTTGACTGTTTTTGATTTGTTTAGTTGATTATGGAAAAGAGCACTAAAAATACTTGCCTAGAGAAAGGAATGCCTTTGTGGAGGACTTTCTAAAGGAAACTAACTCGTATACACTTTGAACATGGGGAAAAACACGAAAAGACCAATGCAGTCAGCCCGTTCCCCTGGAATCGAACTCAGGTCGAAACTACCAGTTCCTTTTAATGAAATTATTGCTCCTTCTAGCTTAGGACAGGTTAAGTTATCGCTTTATAACATTTATGTTTCGCTCATTCTACCTGCATAAAGAGAAAGAGACCGGTGTTAGATAGATAAAAACACTGCTGTCCATTAAAATTGAAACACCATGAAGGAAAGCAAATGCAAAATGATAATTAATGTACTTAAACAGTACGACATGAAGATAAAATGATTAAATTCGTAAGCAGTTTGGAGTGTACAAGGGTGCGAAATTAGAAGAAACAGCTGCCACCCCTGGCAGCATAAACGACCCTTATCCAGTTAGGCATAGAGTCGAACTGGGCTTGGATGATAGAAACGGGCAACTCATTCTATGCTCCTTCAAACTTATGCCACACTTCATCAAACGTATTAGCTGGAGAGAGGTGGCGAGCCAGTCTCTGAGCAATCAATGACCAGATGTTTTCAATGGGTGACAGATCTGGAGACCGTGCAGACCAGAGCAGCAACCGAACATCTTGTCTATCAAGGAAGGTCAGAACAACACGTGCAACATGTGTTCTTGCAATGTCTTGTTGGAAGATGGCGTTTGGCAGGCCTCGAAGATAGGGCACAACCACTAGACCTAAGATATCAGAAATGTACCGATTTGTATTCTAATTACCGTTGAGCCGAACTAGAGATGTGCATGTCGTGTACCCACTGACTGCCAAACCATCACACCAGGCGCAAGGCCCCTATGCCGGTATCGAATGCAAGCAGATGACGTGTGGTCT